TGCCCAGGCGGGTCTTGAACCCTCAGGCTCAGGCAATCCACTCACCTCAGCCTCCCAAAGGCGCGGGATTACAGGCTGAGCCACCGAGCCCGGCTCTTTTTTTTTTTTACTAAGTAATATATTCATCACGAAACAAATTCAATGGGTACAAAAAAATATATATTGAAAAACTGCTATTCCCCTACCATCTCATTCCCCTCTTCAAATATAATTAATGTCACCCATTTACTGCATGCCTTTTCACAGACACTGTATGTATAAAAAAGCAATCACATATATTATTTCCCCCACCTTTACACAAATGATGGCATACTATAGTTTTGTATTTTGGTGTTTTCTTATTTTTTTAATTAATGTATCTGGCAGATTATTCCATATCAATAAATTACCAGTAATAACAACAGCAAACAATGATATCACATTTAATATGTGCCAGACATATTCTAAGAATTTTACATATATTAAATAATTTAACATTTATAAACTCATATAATAACTAGGTTAACATAATTGGCTTCCATATTTTTTAAGGTCATATAGTATACCACTATCTGGAAATCACAATTACTTAACCAAACCTCTGTAGGACATTTAAGTGGTTTCCAGTGTTTTGCTATTACAAACAATACTGCAATAAACACCTTCAAATATATATTACTATTTCTAAGGGATGGGTTTCTAGGAATAGAACCCTCAGTCGTTTGAATCCTTAATTTGTTAATTATTGTCAAATTTTCCTCCAATATTTTTCCTCACCAATAATGCAAGAGAACATCTATTCCCTCTTTGCATGGCTAGCAAAAATTTGCATTCTGAAGATTACATATTAGATTTTGATGACTTTGTATTTTTAAAAAATTAAATGATTTATACAGTAAGTTTTTGTATTGATTACATGTTGAAATTATATTTTGCGCATATTGAGACAAATAACTTTTTAAAATTTTTTAATGTGGCTGTCAGATAATTTCAGATTACATATGTAGTTTGCATAACATTTCTATTAGACAGCACTGCTCTGTACCTAAGCTAAAATGCAATCTTCTAAATATTTACTAACCTAATATGTAAAGAATTGCATTTCACAGTTTTATTAATATTTATATTTCTTACATAAAATGCTTATTCATATCCTCTGGTATTTCCATTAACTTTTGTCTTTTAATTGATTTATAACACTTTTGCTATTATGGATATTAATCCTGTTTCATATGATCCAAATATATTCTCCCTGGTGTGAGATCTGTATTTTAAACTTGTTATCTGCTGCCTTTATTGTATATACTAGTAGATAAGGGAGGTCTTCCCAGAGAAAATGACTTTTGCATTGAATTCCAAAGTACCAGTTGGCTAGGTAAAGTGCAAAGTTAAGTTAAAGGACATTAAGCAAAGAGACAAGCATGTAAGGACACAACACAAGAAAAACAGCATATATGGGAAATAAGAATAAGTCCTTTGGGAGTTAAGGCTACACATTCATGAAGAGCTGGAAGCGAGTCATAGACATATGAAAGGAGCCAGATCACACCAACTCTTGCATACCAAGAAAAGGAGCATAGATTATCTGGAAAAACATGCCAACCTACTGAAGAATTTTTAGCAGGTAAGTCATAAGATCAGGATCTTCAGATAGATTCTTCAGCCCCAAGAAGGGAGAAAACCATTCTGATATTACAAGTTCCAAGTGATGATACTCTGAATTAAGGTTGTGACAGGGAATTGCTCAAAAAAAGAGTTTCCTATTTTACCAAAAAAAAAAAAAAAACTTCTTAAAATGCAAAATTTGGGCTATTACTTACTGTGTCACTCTTAAATCTACACTGTCCAATATGGTAGCCACTAGTCACATGTGACTATTGAGCATTTGAAATAAGGCTAGTCCAATTAAGATGTGCTATAAATGTAAAATACATACTGGTTTTGAAGACTTAGTACAGAATGTAAAATATCTCATTAGTAATAATAGTTGCGTTATACTGAATGAAAATATTAATTTCATATTTTTAGTCCTTTTAAATGTGGCTACTAGAAAAATTAAAATACCACACGTAACTTACATATACATGTTCTATTCAACAGTGCTGTTTTCAATCATGCTTTGTTCTTTCTTTAGGCAGTATTGCTATGGATAATCCAGAATATTCAGTTACGTAAGTTACAAGATAAAAAGCTGTTTTACTAGCAATATAAAGAGTTCTAGATCTTAAATACCTTTTTCTTTTTAGTACTATTTTACCAGTTCCTTAATAAAAGATAGCTAAATAATTCTTCCTTGAGAGGAAAATAATTTTCTATCTATTGTTCTGAATTTTTTTTACAAAATGTTAAATAATTTAATTTTCTATTGATTAGAAGATTTTTTCACTTATTTTATTTAAGCTACTCAGCTAGGATGTCTTTTCTCCTTTATTTTACAACTTACATATGAGCATAAAGAATTTCATAAAATGGTATTTGTTCTTAAAAAGCAAAATAAACATTGAACAAAAATCTGAAAAACTTGTTCAGAATAAGAGATGTCCTGTAACTCAAGACTAATCATTTTAAGTTTGTTTTGAAGATACTGCTTAAGTACAACTAAGCAGCCGGGTTCAGTGGCTCAGCCTGTAATTCCAGCACTTTGGGAGGCTGAGGTGAGTGGATTGCCTGAACCCGCAGGTTCAAGACCCACCTGGGCAACTTGGTGAGACCTCATCTCTACAATAAATCAAAAATTAGCTGGGCATGGTAGCAGGCGCCTGTAGTTCCAGCTACTAGGAAGGCTGAGGCGGAAGGATTGCCGGAGCCCAGCAGGTGGAGGCTGCAGTGGCTGGGAGCAGGCACTGCACTCCAGTCTGGGTGACAGAGTGAGACTCCAACTCAAAAAAAAAAAAAGTACAACTAAGCAGGTGTAATATCTTCAACAACTGATCCATCTAAATCTTTACCTCTGGAATACTAAGTACGATCACCAGTCTTTGCTTCCTCAGTAAGTCTCACAAATGGAACATCTTGAAAATCTCTGCTCATGTGCCAATGTCACGTCTCTACTTCTTTTCCAAAGCTTCCCACTTAATATTATATCTGAATTGTTTTAGTCAAAACAAAATAAATAAAACAAGGATGTGTTATAACTACTTTAACAGGTATCAGGATATTGCCCACAAATAACACTATTCTCCAGAAAAGCAACTGCCATATAGTACCCTAATTCTCTAAGGCAGTGTTTCTCAGTGTGATCACCTGGGAACTTGTTTGGAATTTCAGACATACTACATCAGTACTTTTGAGGACCTAGCCCCTTTGAGAGTTTGTTTTAATAATTCCTCTAGGTGATTCTGACACATGCTCAAATGTTAGAATTGCTGCTTTAAGGCAGGGTCTCTCAACCTTGGCATTATTGATATTTTGGACTAGACAATTCTTTGTTGGGTAGGGGCGGGGAAGGTTCCTGTACATTGTAAGCAGTATCTCTGGTGTCTCCTCTTCCTCTATCCTTTCCCCAACCAAATGTCTCCAGGCATTGCCAAATGTCCTCTGGAGGGCAAAAATCATCCCTGGGTGAGAAAAACTGCTTTAAGAAAAAAGAATACTAGTATTCATCTGTGGTTATTGTTTGGTAAATATTCACGCTTCTCTCTTCACCTTCCATGGGAAGAATATGATTCTGCACTCCAATCACATTGGGGTTAAATCATTATTCATTTTAGCCAATACAATGTGACACAAGCAGAGGTTTTAAATATGCTTTCAGGGTATGGCTTGGTTTTCTGAATGTCTGCGCTCCCCTAAGAGAATGTACCTGAATACATGAGGCACACCTGAACCCAGCTCAAAACAACTTATGGCCAAGCAAGAAATAAATTTTGTTACTGTATGTCACTGAGAGACGAGGGTCACTTGTTACACAGCACACATCTGAACCCAGCCTAAAAATAACTTATGGCTAAGCAAGAAATAAATTTTGTTATTGTATGTCACTGAGAGACGAGGGTCACTTGTTACACAGCACTAGTGCAATAAGAGCTGGCTAACGCAACACCAATAGATGGGATATATATGAATGGCCCAGCTTAGATTGCCTTTATGGCTAAAGTAGCCACGCTCCTCTCAAGCATATCTACTAACCTACTTTCACATTTGCTAGGTGGTTATTTTAACTGAGACCAATGTCTTGACACAAAAAACTAAAGATAGATAAAACATGAGCTCTGTGGAG